AGGGAATAGCAGGCGGATGTAACCATAGCTACAACTTTGTAGAATTGTTACATTGTTTCTCTTGTCACTATCATGCCTTTATGATCTTCAGCTCCCTCTAGTGGCCCCCTGCGGTATTGGCCCCATTCACCACTGCCAATAATAGAGTGCAACTGAAGCCAAAACTTGTATTTCTGGTTGTGGAGACTAGACCCCCCGCCAGGTATTTATTGCTGTGTCCATGTTATGGAGATTCATTGCTCTCGGTTCTCTATGTGAACTACAAAACACCATGCAACAGAGAGGGGAAGGTGCTCTGTAAACCTAGCAGGGGTATACCCATAATGAGGCAGCCTGGCAGTTTATTTTTGGGGCAGCAGGTGTGTGTGTGTTGGGGGGCGACTAATAGTACCCCTAGCTTGGCCCACTCCTTCCCCAAACCATGTTAACCCTCCACTCCCCCTTCTCCAGGTGGTGAAAATAAGATAGGGACAGCCCCAAATCCTAGCACAATTCCTGTCCAAGGGTGACAACCCCGTTCCATAGATACAGTGCAGTAAGCGTTGTCACCCTAGGACAGGAAGTGAAAGACCCTAAGTTTGATATCCAGGCTACAAAGGGCTCTGCTCATGAAAAGGTTAAGTATCTATGAATGAAATGTGATCCCGCGCCGCGCGCCCTATACTCCGGCTCAGCCAATCCCAGGCAGTGCTGTTCTTACCCGGTCACCTCCAGCAGCACACTGCCCAGGCTCAGCCCCTCCGTAGACCCGGCTCTCATGATGGACAGGATCTGGGGGAATTTCAGCACCATGCACACCAGCAGGGTGCTCCAGTTAGCGAACACCAACAGCTCCGTGTGCGGCATCATAATGGACGGATCGCGTCCCGTCCCTACTTCAATGACCACTGCTCATTTCCTCTTCCTGACAGGGAGAAAGGATGTCCCGACCCCGCCCACTAACGCGCTAACGCCTCCCCAACATGCACGGACTCCTCCCTCTCTGATCGGCCAGCGCTGGAGAGGAGACGGTGATGGGCGGGGCTGTATAGAGAAGGGCGGGGTTTCCTAGACTCGGAAGCCCGACGTTCTCAGGTGAGTCCTGAGCGGACAGGTGCGGTGACGTCAGTGGGCTGGGACCAAGGAGATGATTTCTCTCAGGGTGGGTCACAGGTGAAACATCCAAGCAAACATGGCCGTCGGGAGGAGCGGGGGCGAGCCGTGTGGATTCAGTGAGTACGGGGGCAGCATGGGTGCAGACCTCATCCCCCTCCAGTACCATGGAGGCTTTTATTAATAATGACAGAGCGGTGCGAAGGGCTGCAGTGCTTATCAGATATCAGCGGCTTGCAGTCCGATCAGTGGTAGTTTCATTTTGATTGGTTGCCCTGGGTTACTGCATGTTGCTTTTTCAGAAGTTACAAATCTTTTAGAACTTATTTTGGTGCACTGAAATTTTACAGGTTTATTGGGTTATTTTGGTTTGTTTTTATTTTAATCTCTGCATTATAGAAAAGTGGGTCTATGGAACCAGATTGAGATTCTGGGCCTGTGATTAGAGCTGCAGCAGCATGGATCATGTGATCAGTACCAGGCAGGTTCACAGAGGTGGCAGCCTTGGACAATGTTGCAAAAGGGGGCACAAAAATGCGTCCTACCCCATGCAATGCAACCTATGTTGCTGAAGTAATTCAGCGCTCATTGGGGGGGAGGTGCTCTTTGGCCTTTTTGCCTTGGCTGTGAAAGGACCTTGTCCTGATGCTGATTTTATCATGTGATCATTGCTGAATAATTGGTCATGTGCTCTTGGCCATCAGATGCTGGCATTTAAGTGGTGAGGGCACATCAGCGGCTCTTCTAAACAGTCTTCTGACCTTATCGTTCCAACATTGGCGGAGGTCTTGTCTCGCTAGAACATGCAATGTTCGAGTCGAACCTATGTTCGACTCAAACGTTCAGCCCATCCTTACTTGTCACCCGTGTCTCTGAATGGTCCTGCTTTACCCCATCGTGGAGCGTTTGGAGCCGCAGTATCTAACCGTCCCATGTTGCATTCACTTGCTGTCCTATTGGTGGCAAATAATAATTTCCCAGAATCCTCCAATAGGGAAACAGGGATCTTAGTCCCCATTCCCACCCAAGAGGTCTGTCAACACGGGAGCATTTTGGCATGCTCACAGAACATGCTTGTGGTGTTCAGTTGCATGGCAATGCCACCCCCAAAATGCAGCTAAGCAAAAACACTTTTTTTTTTTTTTTTTACTCGTGTTTGAACGCATGTTAAAACACGCACAAATGTGTAGGAAAAAAACATGGGGGTGCGACTGTAGCAGATTTTGACATTCAATCCCTTCACAGTGGCCATGTGGTGGTGCGCACTGCGGATGTGGACAGGCCCTTAGACCATTTCTGTAATGACGCCCTGCTTTCTGATTGGCCAGGAGGCCAGCTCCATGCTCCCTCGTCATGAAGTGACGAGGGAGCATGAAGCCGGCTTCCCGGCCAATCAGAATGCCGGGCGCTGTGTCATTACACGGTGCTTGGCTTCCTGATTGTAAGTACTATCCTTGTCGCACTCCTTACCGATATGTCCCTTGTAGTGGGGGGTGCTCGCAGTGACTGCGGATGGCGCCGCGAATGTTAGCAAAATTGTAGCAAAAGCTTCATTTATTGAAGTTTTTTGTCATATGACCAAACTTCTTGTCAATAAATGAAGCTTTTGCTATCTTAAAAGGACTGGTGTGCTGGTGACATTTCTACAATTTGGTTCCTGATTGGCCTGCTTCCCGACCAATCGGGAGACCGGGCAGCGAATCATTACATGCTGCCCGGCTTCCTGATTGGCCGGGAAGTCGGCTCCATGTTCTCTCTTCACAAGTGACGAGAGACCATGGAGCCACTTCCCGGCCAATCAGGATAACCGGGCAGCGTGTAATGATGCGCTGCCTGGCTTCCTGATAAGGAAATATTGGGCTAGGCACCGGAGCATTAGTACGAGTACTCGCCCGAATATCGATACTGGAATCGGTGCATCCCTAGTAAATAAGATCTCTTCCATGGTGGAGTACATTTTGTCACAGACTAAATTCTGCAACAGATTCCAGCGGCGTCACCTGGTGCGCACATCATAACATGCACTTCACTGTTGGCGGCCATCTTGGTGTTGGATGCCGGCAACAAGAGGTGACGTTCATCTGGCTGGGTAAGGTATGCCACCGGGTCCCCTCCTCTCTCCTACAGCTGTCGGGTTCTCAGTCCATGACCGAGTGCCAACTTTTCACAGTGGTTGAGACCAAAATGACTGTCCATCCATTTTGGTGTCACCCCCTCTGGTGTCACCTGGTGCAAGCCGCACAACCCCCACTGATTGGTTCATACCCACCTTATCGATCTTTACATGAATGCATCACAAGTTGTGCTGTTTCTAAGGCACACACACACACACACACACTTCACCTCATAGTTCTAGCTCACCTGTGACAATGACAGGTCGGCTCAGTAGATCTGGAGATGAGCAAACACATACCGGCGTTCGCTCACCTCTCGATCCTGTCACAGCTCTCTGCCGTGACAGGGGGAGGGCTGGATTCCCCCCCTCCGATCCGACAGCGCTGACTGGCGGAACGGAGGGGGCGGGTACAGCTGGCTGTACCTCTAGATAGGCAGAGCCAGCTGTCACTCACGCAGCTGGGGGACTCCCGGCACAATTGTCGTGATCCGCTTCAGCTGCGGTGTCTCGGCATACCGCGAGCTGTAGCTCGCGGTATACTGAGCTTAGGGTGACGGGAGGACGCTAGTTTGTGTCCTCCCGTTACTCTAAGGAGAACTATGGGGAAAAGCCTTAACCCCATAGTTCTCCTTTTTAAGCAAAATTAAAAAAAAGCAATCTGTCTGGAAATCTGCCTTTTGTCAGGTTATTGTTTTCCTGTGACTGACCCCCCACTGTTTGGATGGAGTTGGAACAACACAGGGGAATTTATCAAAACTGGAATCTGGAACAGTCACCATAGCAACCAATCGGTGTCTCACTTATTTTTAAAGCTTAAATTAACACACTGAAAAGAGAAGCTGATTGGTTACTATGGGCAACTGCTTCAGATTCTGTCTGCACCAGTTTTGATACGTTCAGGGAATACCCTATAAAGAGGCTCCCTGAGGCGTCAGTGAGCTGGGCAGAGCTGTAGCCAGAGGTATTGTGCACCTCCACTTCCCACCCACCTGGTAAGCCACCCCATAAAGTGCACCCCCTAACCTGTGTAATAAAATCAGCATTTTTACGGCCTTCTGCATGAGCCCTGTTTGTTTGAAAAGTGTGCAGTGATGTCAGTGCAAAATTTACAATTCCCTTAGATTTTGGGAAAGGACCCCACAGCTGCGATATTGTGAGCACCTCGGAATGGAAGGAGCAGTGGGCAGACAAAAATCAATCAGCTTCCATTTTTAAAGCTTAACTGAAGAGAGAAGCTGATTGGCTAATATCGGCAACTGCTCCAGATTGTGTGCTGCAGAAACCCGCAGACTGAACGAAAGAATAGAAGAGATTCCTCCATCAGTGCCGAGTGTTGCCGGATGAATCCCCCGCCACTTGCATTGTATTCTGACAGCAGCCGCTGGTTCCTTTTGTAGGAGGGTGCCGACAGCGACCCCGGACGATGCACATTTCAGCCGGTTTATCAGGAACACGTGTACCCGGCTTTCCAAGATTGAGCCCGGCAGGTACCATGTAATCTTTATCCGGGACACAGGAATGTTATCTGTCAGCACAGAGGATCTTTTATTGGTGAACGCTTGTAGACTTATTCCTGGTTACTCAAATAAAACTTAGTCATGTGTGACAGGGGAGAGATCACGGCTTCCACACCCAGTCTGTATTGTGTGCGGAATAGGCGAGACCTTACTCAGTCCACACTGATCCTTCAGTCATGTACATACAAGGCTTAAAGTGACACTAACCTCGAGTTCAATCTAAATATTCATTCAAGTACCCCAACTATTAACAAAATGTATCTTATTTGTGTATCACTCGGCTGTAGATCCTCCAATCATCTCTGAATTGGTGCCGACACTGTCCTTCCTTCTGGAGGGAGGCTACTTTTCTTCCCCATGATCCCTGTGTGTGTTGTAAAGTAGTCACCGCTCCAAGCTCACTCCTGTGATGGACTACAATCTCAATACAAATGAGTAAACTAAACATGAGATTGTAGTCCATCAAAGGAGTGAGCTTGGAGCGGTGGCTACGTTACAACACACACAGGGGCCATGGGCAATACAAGTAGCCACCCTCCAGAAGCGTAGTGTCACTTACACCTCGCTTTGACTGTTGCTGAGTGTATAACCCAAACAAACGTTTATCCACCCAAATCCAGCAATTGGAATTGGTGTAGGAACTATAGGGACTCCTGAAGTTTGACTAAAGCTGGCCATACACCAATAGATTAGCTGCAGATCACAGCCGAGCCGAGTGATCCACAAATAAGATGTTTTGTTTTGCATTTAATGTTTATTATGGCCTGTTCACACCATATGCAGTTGTGATGCAGTCCGTTTATTTGACTGCTGCCGTCAAAATACATCACAATGCTTTCCTATGGGCTTTCTTGTGCTTAATTCACACCATTGTAGTCCGTTCAGATGCAGTCTGAAAAAGTACTGCTTGTCCTATTTCACCTGCATCTAACTGCACGAAACGCAACGTAACGCATACAAAACAAAAAAACATAATTGATTGTGGCATCATCCAGGGAGAAAAAACGCATCACAAACTGATCGCAATGCAACTGCGCAGACGCACGCAGTTGTGATGCAGTTTCTGGTGTGAACTAACCCTTAAGGTTTTTAGAAAGGTGTACAAATGAAAAAAGAAACTCTATCTTCTATTAATACATGACATTTTCAAGAAGGAGATCTACTTCAATGCAAACGACTTAGCCCAAACTCTCCTAAAGGTGCCCATACACCTTACCATTATCGGACAAAACTTTTCGTCCGATGATCGAGTAGTCGTACGATTTTCGTACGGCAGCCCCATCCTGCCCCGATGATCGCAAGAATCATTTAGCCGTAATTAACCAAAAGCACCTAGACGAAATGCGGTAATTGATTTGCCGTATTTTCGTTAGCGCAAGCGCAGTGTACATCGTATGACTTTTGACAGACGTAAACGCCAGCAACCTTACGACAAACGTACGATCTAGCAAAGTTTTCAAACATGCTTGACCGTCAAAAGTCGTACGATTGTACAGTACTATCGGTCGGACACTGCAATGCACACATACGATTATCGGACGGAAAGTCGATCGCATACGAATATCGTCCGATAATCATAAGGTGTATGGGCACCTTAAGAGTCACTAGTTTTTGGTAATAGGGTACTTTAAATGCATATGTAAAGTTTCTCCTGAGTTTAGTGTCACTTTAAGCTGCTCATACACTTATTGAGTTTCTCCGTTTCCAGGTGAAAATTTTAGCTATGGGTGGCCCCTTATGTTGAAGGAACCAGGTGGAAAATTGTCATCTGGACAGTGACTGTGTCCAATCAGATGTAGTCTCTGTTTTGGGTGTGCTGACAGCTGCGGGTGCCGGCTATCAGAATACAATAGCTGGCGCCTACAGATTAGGGTCCGTTCCTCCATCCATGCTGTTTAGTGTGGATGGCGGAATCGGATGAACAGTCTTAATGTGTATTGCCAGGTTCAAGCTTCATATGCTAGAGACATGAAGTACAATCTGATTGGTTGATACAGGCACATCCGCTATGGATGGAATTCTTGCTCTAAGATTGAAGCTTCTGTATTGCAATAAACTGATCATGTTGCTGCAACCATGAAACACACCCACCAGTGATGTCACTTCATGATGTCAGCATCTCATTGACCACCATTTG